GTATAGTTACTTGTCTAATGACACAGCTAAGTATTCTGTATTTGTTGACATCGAAGGAGCCTTTTTTTTTTTTTTGAGATATATACGAGAGTTGTTACATTCTTGTACAGCCACTAGTACGCGTAGCGTTTCGGGCAGGTCCCTGGAATACGATCCCCTGCCGCGAAGAATCATTTTTTCATCCAAGTACACATTTTACTGTTGCGTTAAACAGAGGCTACAGTTAAGGAATTGCGCCCAGTAAATCCTCCCCGGCCAGGATACGAACCCATGACAGCGCTCGCGGAACGCCAGGCGAGTATCTTACCACTACACCACGGAGACTGTGCCTTCGACAAACACGGGATTGCGATCCTGGACGAGCTTTCATGCATGGGTGTCAAGGGGAGACTCATGAAATGGATCGAAGACTCCCTCACAGGGAGGAAAGCCAAGGTCTCCTTCAACGGAGCAGTCTCGAGAACAATGAATATGGAGCTCGGGACCCCCCATGGAGGGGGTCTTAAGCCCCACTATTTAACATACTTATGAACGCCATTGTAACTATTGATTTTCCGGAAGGAACACAACAAGTGGGGTATGCAGATAATGTCCTAATACAAGCTCCCACCTTGGGAAAAATTAAACAGTCCATTGAACTCCTTGGAAGGAAATGTGTTGAGCTCCGTTTCACTCTCCACAAACAAGACAAAAGCACACTATCATCACAAGAGGAGAGCAAATGAAGAACTACAAATTAATGGTGTAACACTTGAATGGGTTGACCACTATCGGTACCTTGGCGTCACTGTCGGCTCTAACAAGGGGAAGAAAGAGGAGCTCAACCAACTCATAGGAACATGCAAAAGTCGACTCAGGGCACTGAAAGCTATGACCTGGAATGGACATGGAGCCTCTATTGCCGTGCATAAAATGATGTACACAGCCTATGTGCGCTCCGTCATAGACTATGCAGCACCAGTTTTGTGCACTTATTCCCAAAACTATATGAAAAAACTTGAAAGCATTCAAAATGAAGTCATGACATTCATTCTTCGAGAATCAAGAACTGCCAAAACAAATAGTTACTTTCATTGTAGGAGGATGGGCTGATATTTGATATATAATAATACGGGTGTCGGGGGACACGCAGCCAGCTTATACATACAATACATCTTATGCTTATATCGAGGTTCCCCCAGGGTCAAACTACTGGAACCCTTCCTCCAGGATGCAACTCCCACAAGAAGTTAACTCCTGGGTACCTATTGACTGCTAGGTGGACAGGGTCAATAGGTGATTAGAAACACGCCCAACCATTTTCATCCCGTCCGGGATTCGAACGCGCAATTATCGATTGTGAGTCGAGAACGAACCCAAGTGGACTACCGAGACCATTTATAAGATATATAAGGCGCGAACGGTCTGGTTCAACACGTTATACAAAATTATATATGTAAACTACCTTTTATTCTCTTCCCCGAGACTATGGGTCCCTACAATTCACCGGAGGTGGTACCCCTATATATACAAATACTTTATCGATGAAAAAGAGTATGTTTTGTGTTGTTTTACTGTGGAAAGGCAAACAATTGTGATATTAGTAGACAAATAAGTGGGAAGGGAGGAGGTGGGGATAATGGAGTGTGAGGGATGAAAATTATGGATGGGGATCAGCTGTAATGATGATGAATGGATAGACCATTTGTTTTGCGGGGAGTGTGGTTGTGAAGATGTTGGAGAGGTGCAGGTTAGGGATAAGTTTTAGAAGTCCAGTCTCCGTGGTGTAGTGGTAAGACACTCGCCTGGCGTTCCGCGAGTGCTCTGTCATGGGTTCGTATCCTGGCCGGGGAGGATTTACTGGGCGCAAATCCTTAACTGTAGCCGCTGTTTAACTCAACAGTAAAATGTGTACTTGGTTGTAACAACGATTCTTCGCGGCGGGGATCGTATTCCAGGGACCATAGGATTAAGGACTTGCCCGAAACGCTACGCGTACTAGTGGCTGTACAAGAATGTAACAACTCTTGTATATATCTCAAAGAAAAAAAAGTGTTGGATGAGATGGAGACTTTGGATGGGTATAAAGGGATTTGGGAGAGTGTTGGTGGATGGGGACAAGGGATGGAATGATGGTATAGATGGGAGGGTTTTAAGAAGGGTGGTTCGGAGTTAGGAATGGATTGGGTTAGGTAAGGATGGGTAGTGTTGATGGGTTAGTAGCGGGTTGGGGTCTAGGAGTAAGTTGGAGTATGGGTAAATGGAAGGTAATGGTGCAAGATCATCATCAATGAAATGGCAACGAAAAAATCCAACATGATACCACAAGAAATGAGGCACAAGTATCTCGAGGAAATTTATAAAGAAGTCGGAGATGAACTAGATCAAATCTACACTGACGGGTCATCTAATCCTATCAATGGCAGGGCTGGTGCAGCATACACGGTAATCAAGGATAATACTTTCCAACGCAGAAATGAAGAAAAAGCACGTATTGAGAACTATGCCTCTTCAACACAAGCAGAGCTAACTGCCATTGTTATGGCGTTAAGGTTTCTTGAACGGAACACTAATGGTGCAGTGATTTGCACCGATTCAAAAGCAGCACTGCAAAGCCTAAGTAAAAATCGGACAGAAAATCTTGCAATAGTCGCTGAAATTAAGAGAGCTGTGAGAGTACTTACCAATCAGGGAAGAGTCATCAAGTTTCTGTGGATCCCCTTCCATGTTGGAATATGTGGAAATGAACGAGCAGATGTGCTGGCTGCTGAAGGCGCTGAAGGAGACCATATTGAATACTTCATACCCAAGACTCTACTACAAATTAGAGGTATTGTCAGGCAACATCACCGTGACAAGGTAACTGAGGAAAGGAGGATAGAAGCACAAACTAGTGAATCTATACGATGGTACAACATGGTTGCAGCTGGCAATCCCAATCGTTATGGCCGAAGAGAAGGAGGACGAGGGAGGGAATCAGTAATAACAAGAATCCGTCTTGGATACAAATATCCATGGAGATATGGAATGGAAACAACAGTTGATCAGCGAAGTTGCAGAATCTGTGGTGAGAGTGACGGACACCGCCTTGACCACTATCTACGTGAATGTGAACACCTGAGAGATATCAGAAATATGTGTAGAATAATAAACCCCACATTGTTTGAGTTAGGAAAACACTATTTGTCAAATATTGATGCTGTTCTTAAAAGATTTCCCCATTTTGCACCCGCAAGATAACGTAAGCTTTTAAGGGTTGATAGATGTTAATCTTCTTGTTTGAGGAGCTGTTCACTTGAGACAGTTAAGCAAGTCCCAGCTGTGTCTGGGTACAAGTGACAGGATGAACAACCCAGCGGGTTTTCTTCCTATTGGGGAGTGTTGTACATTCTGCTATGGCGGTGTGTCCACTCACAAGATGAGTGGCGCTGCCCAATAAACTCGCCCCTCGGGGCAAAATTTAAAAATTTAAATGGTGCGGGGTTGTGGGAGGCTGGCCTTGAGTGGGTTGGGTTAAGGGTGAGGGTTGGGTAGCGTTGAGTGCTTACCTAATAGTGTCTACGGGGCGTAAGGTCTAGCTCTACATGCCCCGCCTACTATAGCCCTGTTGTATCCGTTGCATTATAACTTAACAACTTTGGTATTCAAATTCTTTGTGGAATCTGGCCTTATACGTGTGGATGGAGGTGGCTTACACAACTACTTCTTTCAGTGCATTCTTCTTGATGCCTACCCGTACAGGGCACGGGTATTAACATAAATTTCTTCGGCTCATTTGCGTTTCTAGCTTTCACCTGTGTCCTCTTGTTCTACGTTCTGTCAATTTGAAGAGGCTATCCTTTTCAGCCTTATCTGTTCCATTCATTATTATCTATTCCATTCATTATTATCTATTCCATTCATTATCCTGTATGTTAAAGATCATATTCCCTCTGTTTCCTTCTATCCTCTTGGGGTTGAGATTTAGCTTCACTAGCCTATTCTTGTAGCTTAGCCGTCTCAGGTCTAACCAATCTTTTTGCAAACCTTTGTACAGTTTAAAGTTTGGTTTTATGCTTCACAAGATGCAGATTCCATGCTAGTGATGCATGTTCCAATATTGGTTTAACTAATGTTGTATAGATTTTCTTGAAGGAGTCCTGATTTAGGTTTATAAACGATGTTATCCTGTTTATGTGTGCAGCTGGTGTTAGTGATGGAACTATCTCCACTTCCAAATCTTTCTTTCCGAGTCCTGTAGCTTCCTTTCCGTTATGATGTAGAGGCTGATCTGATCTCTCTCCCTTTCCCATCGTCATTACCCTACACTTTTTGTGACTGAATTCCAGCAACCAGCTGTTCTGACCACTCCTAGAGTTTGTCAAGGTCCTCCTGTAACTTCCTGCAGTCCTAAGTTGTTTATATTAATAAGCTTTGTGCATCATCTGTAAACATTGACATGCACAAGCTCACTCCCTCGGGTAGGTCTTTCACACAAACTAGGAACAGCAGCAGTCCCAGGATCCCAGGACAGATCCTTGTGGGACCTCACTTGTTACATTCCTCCAGCTTGAAACGCCCTCTTTGACTGTGACTGGTTCCTTTCCTCCAGGAAAGGAACCTTACACTCCCTTACCCAGTTCAGCATCTTCCCAGTTATCCCAGACTGCCTCTCCATCATATACACCATGCAGTCTCTAATGGGGAACAGTGACAAATGGTTGTGACAATCTATAGGAACATACTGTCTACGCAGACTTCGTTTTCCCCGTCTTATTTTAGTAACGACTGTCATAGAACTCGATGATTCGGATGGGGTGGGCGGGGGGTTGGCAGAGGGAGGGTCGTGGTGCGGGGTTGTGGAAGGCTGGCCTTGAGTGGGTTGATGTAAGGGTGGTGGTTGGATAGCATTTACTGAGGTGGACAGACTTGGGGGGGAAATGGGGGTGTTTGGGATTGAGGGAGGGGTGGCGGGGGGCGGCGTGGAGGGGGAGAGGGGTGCGCGCGCCTCACCGGTAAGAGCAGGGCGGAGGACGAGCCTTCAGCCTTCAGTACACGCGCGAGTGTCATAGAAGAAGTACGTCTCTGCAGCCGCTCCTCTCCCGTGAATGAACTCTTGAACACTACACCCATAATCCTAACCACTGAAATCTGTTTTGATGAGATTTTGTAATCAGTAAAGTAGGTCGCTGTTGAGGAAGGCAAATATTAGCTGCAATATACAAGAGGAAACTGTTAGTGGTGAATAAGGTTGCTTTCGTGGCCGGCTCCACACCAGCAAGACTCGCCAACATCCGCAAGGTACGTTCACTCTCCAAGTTAATAACACATATTGTATAATATTGAATGTTTTACATTAGAATTATAGCGATGATATCCGTGATGGTGATAAGTGTGGGGAGTTTCCACTACCTGTGAGCATAGAGCGGCCGCCTCCACACACCGGCCGGCCCCTTTACCAAGGTCGCCTCACCAACACTGTTAGGCCTATTGCAAAGCCCCTATTATATATAATCACACGTTTAATTTGAGCCTATAAATGTATTGAAGGACCGTGACTAGAAAGTGGATACTAGAGTGGCAGTTAAGGCGTAGTTTATGGCAAATTAGTCTTTTTTAAGGATACCTATATATAGTGTACATGAGCGGCATGCTCATGACATGAGCCCGGGACGAAGGTTCCAGAAGCACATAATGGGCTCGGGGCTCGATGCTCCGGGCTCGAGGCTCGGGCAGTGAAGCCAAAGTTGGTTTAGTGAAGGAAGTTTATAGTGAGGTGTGTGTGTGTGTGTGGCGGCTCGTGTGGTGTTGACACACCACACGCCGCCGGCCGCCACACCCTTCCCCACACTCTTAACACATTATTAGAAACAAATAGGTAGTTTCTTTCACCCTGATGATCCTGTTCACCTAGCAGAATGTGTGTGTGTGTTGGAAAATATATAGAGTAGACATAAGAGGAAAATAGATTGGTTTAACGACGGGGTCCAAGAGCTAATAGCTCGATTGTGCAGACACATAGTAAATACACTGTGATACACACATTGTCCAAAGTTGGAGGCCAGATGCTTGGGGCTAGCCTCACCAAACTTTGCAGAGAAAATGGTCAGAGGTACAGGACGACCATAGGCTGGTCATAGTTGGCATAATTTAAATACTTCTTAAAAATATGGTCCTGTAACTATCTCCCCATGCAATTTAAATAAAGTCTGAAATGAAATCGCGGGTGTGGTTTCCATAGAGTTTACACTTTGATTTGCTCAAAAAGTTAACTGAATTCATTAATGTTAAAAATAGTGAGTAGGGAAGATGGTTATAATGTTGAAGATAATATATACAGTGGAGAAAGATGTAAGAGTGGGGGGGATGATGATGATGATGAGAGGAGAGACAGGACAAGAGGTGAAGAGGATGGGAAGAGGGACGTAGAGGTGCAGATAGACCTGGGCAATGCCTGATCCCCTCCCCTCCCCTCAGTATAGATATAAATGGAAATGTTTGTATTTGAGGTTGGAGGCGAGACGGAGAAGAGGGGGAAGAGAAAATAGAAAAATAGCTGAAGGGGAAGGGGTGAGAATATGGGGTGGGGATGATTGGGGCAGTTGGGGGTGAGAAAGGATGACTGTGAGAAATGATGGGTGAGAGGGGAAACATGGGGGGGGGGTATGGAAAGAGACGGACTATCCGGGCATCAGAGTATCCTCCAATAATATATATACTATGAGAGAATGGTTTCTCTAAGACTGGAGGCGTTAGCCTCTTTCAACCTTGCAGGGGAAATAGTCTGTGGTACAGGGCGAACACAGGCTGGTCGGGGTAGGTCTTAGATAAATGTCTTATGAAATATAATTTAGAGACCATCAGGCGATTTTCTTGAAGTCGAGTGAAATGTTTGGTGGAGTTTCCTCCTAGTTTTTAGTGATCGTTATAGTATATTTTCTGAGACCCATACAATTGTTTCAGTGCTTCTTAATAATACATTTTCTGAGGAGGGGGGGGAAGAGACGAAAGGGGGGGGTGTCAAGGGGAAAATGGGCTGAATACTGATGAGGGAAGAGAGACCCGAGTGCAGCCGGGTACCCATTCTTTATATAAATGTAAATATGAGGTTGGAGTGGAGAGGGAAACAGCAGAGATATGGGGGAAATATAGGAGGGAATGGGGAGGAAGAGGTTGGCGAGGGGGAGAGATGAAGGGGGGAGGGTCATGGGGGACATGGGGTTCAGAGGGGAGGGGAAAGGGTGGAAAGAAAAGTTTCAGCCGAGGTATCAGTGTTATATATATAAATGGAAATGTCTGTGTTTGAGGTTCGAAGGTAAAGGGAGGGGAAAGGGCAGGGAGATGAGAGGGGCAAAGAGGAGGGGACGGTAAAAGGGAGGAGACGAGGAGAGGGGGGGGGGACGGGAAGATGGGGGTGGGGGTGTACACTGGTCGTGACCGGTAGCCGGCCTTGTCCCCCAGCTAGTCTGCAGCGGCGGCCTCACACGGTATTCACTCGAGATGCTGCGTCATCTCCCTCTGTGCTCCTTGAAGTACTTGTTGCGAGTCTATAATGATATCTGGGTGTCGTCCTTGGGCCCTGGTGACTGGCTCGAGGAAGATATTCTTCCCAGTAGGATACCTGGTCCTCGAGGGTCTTCCCCCAAAGGATTTTCGTACCATTGTCCTGACCAGTATTTGTAAATTCTTTGAGCGTATGATTAATATGCATCTGGTCTCGCGTGGTTCCTGGAATATCATGCAGGAATATCATGTTTTTGCAAGGATTGCACCACGACGGATGTTTTTGTGGATTTGATCTACATTCGTGCTGCTTTTGAGAATTCCTCCATTGTGGTAGTTATTTATTGATATGGAGAAAGTTCATGCACCACCTGAAGATACACTATTTTAACCCATCTGCTTTTATGTGGCCTTGATGGCAATCTCCCGCTTTTCGTGCAAGGCTTCCTTCCTCTCGTCGCTCGTTTCAAGTGAGGGTTGGTGCTGCTGTCTTGACCTCTTCTCAACAAGTATGACGGTGTCCCCCAAGGTAGTGTTCTCAACACTACTCTACTTCAGGTTACCCTGAATGGCCTCCCTCCAGTTTCCCCTGGCATTTTCTCAGCCCTTTATGTTGATCTTTGCTATCTGGATGACGGCTCCATCTTCCCTCCAATGTCAGCTCCAACTCATGGATAGTTTCGTCTTGGGCCACCAATCATGGCTTGAAGTCCTGCACATCCAAGACTTGTGCTGTGACTTACTAAGAGGCATGTCGTCCCTCGTCCACATTGTCACATGGTAATTACCTTCTGTTAGTCTTAGAGTTGATCTTTGACGCCTGTTTGTCTTGGTCACCACATGTAGCTCAGCTCAGAGTTCACTGCTCTAAAGCCCTTACTTTACTTCTGGTCTTGCCCCATACTTCCTGGAGAGGCTAATAGCCACACATTCCTCTATTTGCACTTCTCTCTTGTTCTCATTAAACTCAATTATGGCCGTCTTGCCTATTCCTTGTCCATAATCTGGATCCTTCGTCTTGATGCTCCGCACCATGGTGGGTTGAGCCTCAGCTCTGGTACCTTTAGTTCATCCCTCGTCCAGAGCTTGCATGTTGCAGCCGGCGTCCTGTCTTGACAGGAGCGTCGTGGTCGTTACTTCACTACCTCGTGGGCTCCCTTCACCATCCCTGCTCGTGCTGCTCTTTGGCCATTGCTCCTCCAGAGATCCCTGCTCCCTCTTCTTGCCTTCCTTTTCCTGCTAGGGTGGCGCGTTTGCAAGATTTTCTCTAGGCAACGTCTCCTCGTGCTGTTTCTCCCTTGCTCCCACTTGTGAAATTGTGCAGGACCCTGACCCCATGTGAGGACTTGTACTCCCCCATACTGTCTTGAAAAGTCATTTCCTTGAACATTTTTCATCTCAGACCTCTTTGCTCAGACCTGGGGGCCTCGTAGCCTGGTGGATAGCGCGCAGGACTCGTAATTCTGTGGCGCGGGTTCGATTCCCGCACGAGGCAGAAACAAATGGGCAAAGTTTCTTTCACCCTAAATGCCCCTGTTACCTAGCAGTAAATAGGTACCTGGGAGTTAGTCAGCTGTCACGGGCTGCTTCCTGGGGGTGGAGGCCTGGTCGAGGACCGGGCCGCGGGGACACTAGAAAAAGCCCCGAAATCATCTCAAGATAACCTCAAGAAGACCTCTTTGCTCAGACCTCTTTCCTCACTGCTGAGTCTAAGTCTGCCGACTGTGTTGGCTATTCCTTTGTTTTCCCCAATTGGACTTGTATGTGCTGCCTGCACACCCCCCCCCCCCCCCGTCTCCGGAGACTAGCATCTTCACTGCAGAATTGTATGCTATTTTTGTATTCTCTCGTCCACTGGTTTCTCTACATTACCGTTCTTTTGTCACTGTGGTTGGTTCTCGCAGTGGCCTCATGGCTCTGGATTTTCTTTAACCCTTTGCCTCACATGGTAGTCGAAATCCAATACAGGCTGGTAATTATCTCTGGCATATAAGACAGTCGCATTTTGCTGGGTTCCCAGCATATTAGTTCTTTAGAGTGAACTTGCAGACCCCCCCCCCTGATAAGGAGGCCATTCATGCTTGCACCATTTCTCTGAAAGAGATTATCTATTCAGATTTCTTCTTAGTCATTCATGCTGCAATCAGTGACCGTTGGCAGGGTCGTTGGGGGTGGCACTACAAGTAACTGCTGTTCTTAGAAGTGACCTCTCTCCTTGACCTTCCTCCACCACCCCAGGCACCCCAAGGCTCCTGACAGCTGAGTGGACAGTGCTCGGGGTTCGTAGACCTAAGGCTTCGGGTTCCATCCTAGGTGGAGGCAGAAACAAATGGGGCTGTTTCTTTCACCCTGATGCCCCTGTTCACCTAACAGTAAATAGGTGCCTGGGAGTTCGTTGCTACGGGCTGCTTCCTGGGAGTGTGTAACAAAAAGGAGGCCTGGTCGAGGACAGGGCCGCGGTGACGCTTAGCCCTGAAATCATAACCCTAATATGTGGTAGGAGATACCTTTGGCCAGGTTGTCAATCAGTCGTCCCCGCCTGACTGACGGTAAGTAAGTGGATCATCATCCTGGTCCCCCTTTGTCCGCGGTGCGTTGTCCCACTTGGTCACGCATCGCCTTGTCCATTGCTCCGATTTTCGAAATGCTAGCGTCTTGCTTTCCTGTTATCCCCTAGAGTCATTACTCTTATTGGAATTCTTGGTGAATAGGATACCTTTGCTATCATTTGCTTCGTGTCTTGTTCTTATTGAGTGACATTTTGTGCCTTTCAGTTATCTTGCGACATAGCTTGCGCT